TCATGATTGGACAAAGTTTTTAAAAACAAGAGATTTGTAGTACCCCTATACCAACTGTAAACATACGCTTTTCAATCTAATTTGCATACTTATGTTATTTGTTTACACAGACCGATTTTATATGTCGTTCGCAAACATTTGTCAGTTTACTGTTGAACATTTACCTTGACACAATTTTTAAAATTTGACTACTACTATAATACACGATCGTACTCTTCGCAAGTGCCTTTTGGTTTTACACTGTAGGCGTCGAGTAGCCACAACGTCTGTGCACATTGATAAACGTGAAGAAGTACTGGGAAATACGTGTACGCTGATTTAGTCAAATAAAGCACGCAACAGATCTTCCTTTTATCATATATAAACCTTTGTTATGTTAATTTCGATTAATTTCCCTGAAGAAGTTCGGACCAGATTGCCGAATGAAACGTTGGAATTACTCATTTCAATCTCGCTGAGATTTTACAGATATAATTTTTTACAAATGATTACTGTACAACACTGTGTGATTTATCAAAATCAAATCTATCTATAGTAGAGTTACACTCCACCATAGTGCCCAAGTTTTATACCTATAGCAGTCTACTCCGTCCATCCAAATGACAACCAGGAGCACACTGAATGAGTTGCTATAATGACTTCGCCAACAGGAGTCAAACATTTAATGCATGGAAGCCAATCTCCTCGTGCAGGATCATGACAGCAAGATTCAACTCAAAAGCAAGGATTGCCACAGTTGTTCAATGCTCCGAATGCTGCTGCAAACAACGAGGAACAAGAGAAGAACGAAGAATTTTATAGATAACTACAAACAGTAATGGACGACATCCCAAATGGTGACATCAAAATCCTCATGGGCCATATGAATATCACATTGAGAGCAGATAGTACAGGAAGAGAACTCGTCATGGGTCGAGAGGCTCTGGACGAAATGAATGAGAACGGAGAATTATTGGCAGACTTCTACGTTTATGATGATTTGTTGATTGGAAACAGAGCGTACAAGAACGAGGCTACACAGAGAGCAAAATGGATTTCACCCGAAAGACACACCACAAACCAGAGAGACTTCACCTAAATGTTGCGCAAAGAAGTGGAGACGCAGCTTGCCTGCTGGACACAAAGTCGAGAAGGGGGACAGACATGGGCTCCGACTACCATCTATTTCAAGGTGAAGCTGAGATCCTTCAGAACAACTGGAGACAGGCCACCGCAATTCAAGTTCAAAATTCAGAAGCTGAAGGACGAAACTACGATGGATGCCTACACTAAAGATATCAGATCAAAGTCCAAGACACTACGTGGCATCACGGAGGAAACCTGTGTGGAATAAAATTGGAAGTAACTCTCTGAGGGTGATGTTCAAGGAAACGTGTACAACTGTTCTAGGAAGAAAAAAGAGTCAAGAGAAGACAAGAAATGGCTCTCAACGGTCGCCTACCTGGAAGCTGATAGAAGAGAAGGGGATGATGAAAGAGAAGGTGGCTTAATGCAGAGATGGACAAGAGAAGGAGAAGCCGGTTCCAATGTACACAGGACTGAATAAAGAAGTGAAGAGTACTAGGAAAGACAAAAGGCAATTCTACGACGTACTGGCAACTGATGCAGAACAGGCAGGCCGCAGGTAAAAGAGACCCCAAGACATTATATCAGATAACCAGGTCTCTATCCGAGGAAAGACCAGCACAGATGAAACCAATAAAAGATATTCAAGGTAACCTAATTATCAAGGAGGGGAGGCATTAAAACAATCGACTGATCACTCTAAAGGACTCTTGAATCGACCATCTTCCCCTGCAACCTGGGATACCGCCAACAGAAGACTATGAGCAACTGCCCGTGGACATCAGTCCTCCAGCAAAAGGAGAAATCTTGAATGTATGTTGTTCGATCCAGGAGAGACGGCAGGACCAGATGGAATCCCTTTTGAAAATCCGAAAATAGATCGGAGACTAAATTGAGTGTGCTCAAGTCACTATTGCAAAGAGTCTGGTTTGAAAGATAGGTATCTGTGGACTGGAAGAAAGGCCGCCTTGTGAAACTGCCGAGTAAGTGTGACTTAAACCTCTGCAAGAACTGGCACAGAATCATTCTCTTATCCACGCTATGCGAGTTATTAAGTCTCGTCATCCTGGAGAGACTAAAAGGTGTTCTGGATGCAGAATTCCTCCAGTAACAAGCTGCATTCAGGAAAGGCAAATCATGTGGTGATAAAAATGCAAATCTACGCATCTTTAGGGGATCAGAGGAGTTCGACAAATCAGTTGAACCTCAGCCATTTCACAGTCAGCGATTAATTCGTTTATCTGAGGGGCCTGAAACACATGGTAGTTAATATAATTTTCTAAGGAAAAGAGCTTGGTAGATTCGTTGTGGTGTGATTATCTACTTGTACACTCTCTTCAAATCGTCGTCAATAAATACGTCTTTCAGCAGCCGCAAGTGTTGTGTTCCCCCTTCGTTAGTTCCGGTGGCATTATGAATAGCCTAGACACTAGGTTAAGCGGACCTGGCTGAGGAGTCAGCAGGTAGTGTGATTGGCGCTCAGGATTGATAGCCACGCATCAATTGCAAGCGTTATATGTAGTCAAAACCAACTGGAAATGAGTTCAAAATCACCCAAACAACCTAAGTTTTTCTCTAGATATCATTATTGAACGAAGCATGGAACCACAGTCAAACGACTTCGAAAGGTCTTCGATGGCGCTTACTGGGAAGTAATTTGGAAACTACTTCAACGCTATGGAGTGCAGCACCGCACATCTTTATCAACCCCATTCAACAGCTATATGACAATGGCATGTGCTAGGTGATCCACAACCGAAAGCACAGTCAATTTTTCGAAGTGAATACAGGAGTAAGATAAGGCCACCTATTATCACCGATAATATTCCTAATTGGTGTGGACTGAAATATGAGCAGTGTATCCTAAAAATCAAGTCAGATGGACGAGAAATAAGACAATGGAGCTTCGAGTGATCATCTCATAAGTCATACCAGAAATCATTATTCTGAAAGAAGCCTAGCTTCCAGTCATCTGTGAAAGTCATGAAATGGGTTTAGAAGACACGACATTGTACAGAAGGGACGGGAAATACCTGAACTTGGAGGGCTCGACTGAATGTATTGTAAGTCACGTCAAATCAATAATATCCATCACTGTGTCATAAAACAAGTACCTTGAGTGGCTACGATGTTGTAAGGCGGAAAAACGCTAAATCTTCAGTCTGAAGAATTTATCAGGAGGTATTAATTGTGGACATACCACCAAGATGGAGGAGATTGAAATTAGGAGTCTGTTGGTTGTTTGGTTAGGGGGAAGGTAAACAAATAACGTTGATAACAACATTCATTTTAGTTAATTTAGGTAATCAGGTTGAAACAGTCTCTTTTCGAGGACGCTGCTACTGAGGGCCAAATATTCGCTTGAGATGTCTTTGCAATGTGTATAATCCGAGGGCGGATGAAAATATTATTTTGCATGCAGTTCTTGTCTCCCACTCTGTAAAGACTATAGCCAACAAGGAGAGAATACATTGTCTGAAACAGTTAGCGGAGAGTCTCCAAAAGACTAAAAGAAGAGCAGCACAGGAGTGGGTCACGTACGTTATTAATAAGCGGTCTCATCCCCTAGAATATTACAAGGCTATTTGACAGTTATTAATCACTTATCTACCAAATAACTCCATTTTCTCAAGTCTCACTTATGCCTACACTGTGAAGATGTTGTGCCTGCGTTAGACGTTGATCGTTCTGTCAGACTACAGAATGGCCAAACCATCCTTTATAAATAGGCTGTTCTTAGATTCAGTTTATATCATGTCTGAGCCACATTTAAGGTTTGGATTTGAGAGTCACATGGTTGTCTCATCACAATTTTTGAAGAGGGACTCAAAACTTTCGCTGGATAACCACAGGTCTGCCGAAGCTTTTCCACTATGGCCTTTTCACAACAGATCGCGAAAATTGAACCTACATCCTCTTAGCTACAACAGAATCAGACGAAGTGATGACGTTTGGTGAAACAGTGAATAACCTGACTGCCTTGGATAGATACATACTGAAGGAACCATAATAATTCATTGAGACTTACGAGGAAACTTACCAGTCAGAGAGCAGAAACACATCAGTATGCTGCTTCATCTTCTTGATATAAGTATGAAACTTGGGCTCTGTGGTAGAGTGTAACTCCATTATGGATAAGATTTTATTTTGATAAACCACACAGTGTTACACAGTAATATTAACTGATGACGTTTCGAGCACAAATTATTGCTCATAATCATATCAAGTTACTCACACAATAATTTGTGCTCGAAACGTCATCAGTTAATATTACTATGTGACATAGTGTGATTTATGAAAATAAAATCTTATCCATAATGGTGCTTCATCTTCTTTTGGAGCACCTTGTTCATACACTGGGTTTCCCGATGATATAGACACTCTTCCGTTAGTCAGAGAGTTAACAATGTTATTGGTAGACTGTCACATCTGCAACCATCCACTGGGAGAGAAGTCTGATTAAAGCAGACTGAGTTAGCACATCAAGCGTCCTGCTGATAATATGGATTCGCTTTCATTTGGCTTACGCTTTCATCACACCCCATCTTAAATATATTTATTTCATTATCACATCAGTAACGACTAATCACTACTTTTATCAGCTCCATACACTCACCTATTAACACTACTATTTTTTCGATTGGTTTTCACAATTGCCCATTGGTATAGAAAGGTTTGGTTCCATAAGCGAAATTAGTTTGAAATAGCCTATTTGCTATCATACAAAAATAAATCAACTTTCGTCCACTCGTGACATTCAGCAAGGTAAAAGGATTTGACAAGATATAATTTCGTAAATAATTATACCGGATATTTAGAGAAGGCTTAAAGCATTAGGAAGTAAATGCCTAGAAACAACGAATTCGAACAATGTGCACATGAAAGGTATTGAAAATTGAGGATGTGAAACCGCTTTCTTCAAGCAGTTGCGGTATATTTTTCGTTCGCAGGTAAGTTGTATTCTTATGTATATTAACCGTTGTATAACGAATGTCATATTTTATAGAAAAGCTCATTCTATTAAAAGGCAATGGTGACACTTCATCATAGCAGCCTAAGACGAAACTACTTCTAGCGACAAATCAGATGCGTAGTAGAATTCTACTTCGAAGTGTGTCAAAATTCAAGTAATGCAATGTAACAAAATGTTTATATAAGAAAGTACCCTTGTATTTGTTGCAGGAAAACCTGATTTCTCACAGGAGTCTTCATAGTTGGATTAAACTAGTTTCTGTACATATTCGTCATGGTCATCAATTTGTTCACTAGGTCGTTACGTTTTGAGCTGCTATAGTTTAGAGTCATCGGTGAGGTCAGTGTGACGCTTTTCGAAGGGTATCATGCTGTTCTCAGGATTCCCAAATGCCCAAAATATCTGCAAACTTATCAGAGAAAATAATTTAATGAAAATATATTCGATTCGGCCGTAGTTAGGGTTGAGTGAAGGACTGATTTTAAATTTACCTTTTAAAATCGATTGGTCGTTTCAGCTTTGTTAATGCGTTTGATTGGACTGCTATCGTTTAATTTTTCCAAGTTGATTGGCGAAAGGTGGGCAGCACAGGCGGCCACAAGCCGACGTGGCAAAGCGTGTTTAGGGTTAAGTATAGAGTAACAATCACGTGTTTTCTTGTTTGGTAAATAAAGCTGTTTAATTTATAACTTTTAGCGATGAAAATTGTTTTTATTGCTGATCTGAGCCAGTTCAAACGATGGTAACCATCTATATAGACCTAACCACTGACATTCAGCAAGCAATCAGAGTTGAGGAACAGTAGACGTGATAAAATTGTTAAAAAGATGACAGTAGATCGTGGTGTTCTGAGACCTGTTGGTGTTACTGATTGTGCTTTTTAATCTGTCCCTAAATCCTGATCCGCCTTACAGACTTATCTTTCTAAGCTCCTCCGCCTATGCACGTCCTAATAATTCTAGTTCGTCCATTATTCACACAGTAACCAGAATCCAGGTGTCGTCGGGACTTCTTAAACAAATCCAAAACAGAAGGCATCATCTTTTGGGTCATACCACCTGTAACTGATTAGTTTTCGGTTATTTTCAATAATGGCTGCTATAGTTTAATTTTGGCGTAATCTATTCAAATCTATTCCTTTGGTTTCTGAAAGGAAGCTAAAAACGGATTAGTTGTACTCTTCGAACGATATTCCACCTTCCTGCACACAGAAATACTGTGAAATGTTTTTGTTATACTTATACTGACTGGAATCAACGTAGACATTTGCACCGATGTGCACCAGTTAGAGTTGCCATACTATGCAGCACACAAAGCAAGAGTAGAGAGTAAAGAAACTTACAGAAGACAGATGGGCAATAAACAGAAATATGAGACAAAAAGAATAGTAATATGGAGGAACAATAGAATTTTATTGAATATTATAAATCACAAGGAGTGTATGCATCTTCGCCAGCCATTGAGAACGTGGATTTCGAGCCATATCACTAATTGTCTTCAGCTATTGGTGTTTACCGTCCTGAGGACCCCAAGTAGGAAGTCTACACCTTCCTATGTGGATGGTTTAAACTAACTTGTGGATTTCATTGACTGATAAAGCCACCATTTGGTTTGACCACCACCAGCTCTTTTCTAACTTGATCCATTCTATGTCAGCTGACATTGCTCGTCGGTCGAGGAAGGCGATGGCTAAGCATGCATGCGTAACAGATGTCCGAACCATCTCAATCCATGTAGTTTCACAACCTCGTTGACCAATTTCCCCTCCTTGCCTAACACTCGACCGAAGCGTAACCTCAATATTGCTCACCTTATTATACCACTTCACACAGGAGATAGAACGCAGGAACCTATGATGAAAGACAGCTAGCCAGGCTTTTCATGTCTTCCATTTTCAATATTATTGTCTCGGTAAGAGCCATAAAGAAGGACAGAGAGAACTTCTAAGCAGTACACACGCTCTTTGGTCGACATCCAGTCGGATATCACGTCTACGACAGAGATGGAGTAAGATAGGAATAATAGCTTCGATTTCAAAGTCGGTTAAAGCACGCTTATGTAAGCACTCATTTTCAATCGAACATTGAATTATTAGTGTGATGATAAACACCTTCACCTAAATGATGAAAAACTTGGCAAAATTCTCGGAGGGAATTAAATTGATTTTTAAAAAATGAGGGAATCATAGCGTCACGTGAAGTTTTCACTCTTTGATTAGTAGGATAAGTGATAATACAGAATGATTACTTGCCTTATTATACCACCTTTCTCGCGTTAGGTGGTATAATAAGGTAAGTAATGTTGACGTTAGGCGTAGAGTGTTGGGCAAAGAGGGAAAATCACTCGAAGAGGCTATGAAGTTACGTAGATTGAGATGATTAGGTCACGTGCTGCGCATGCCTAACCACCGTCTCCCCCGACGGACGGGCATTACTAGCTGATATAGGTGCAGGTGGGAAAAGAGTAAGTGGTGGCCAAACAAAAACATGGCCTCATCAATCCATGAAATCCCTGACAGTTAAACTGAGTCAGGTAGGAAGGGAGATGCAGACTTCCGGGTTGGGGCCCGCCCTCGGGACTCTAAGAATCAATGGCTGGAGACAATAGGTGACATGGCTCAAAATCGTTGTCAATGGCTTACGCAGATGTATTCAGTCTCTTTAACCTTCATATTCCTTTCTACCATTACTCATTCTGTTTCACTCTTATAATTATCTAAATTCTGTTGATTCTCTTCTCTCATTATCCTGTCTACCTCTGTGTGCTATTTGGAACGTGGCAACTCGAACTGCTGCACTTCGGTGCCAAGTTCTATGTTGAATCCAGCAGCAATGATTAGTCATCACAACAGATGTAAACAGGCATTTTTTAGGGTTTATCCAGAAGTATGAGGCCTATGACTACTTCATAGTTTTGATAAGCGTCGGTAGCTTAACGGTAGAACGCTTGCCAACGACGCAGGTAGTTAGGGGTTTGACCCCGAGCCGACTCACCCCTTTACCTAGCGAAGCCGATAATAAAACTGGTAAAGAGAGAAGGTTAGACATGAGACTAGCAACCTTCTCGCGTAAAAATAAACACTACTGTTGGCGAATCTTCAAAGCTCTAGCTTGTATTTACTTAACACTTATTATTAATTGATTTGTAAATTGTTAAATATTTGTTTCCCTTTCTTCCCTCATTCAGAAAACAGAAGGGTATTCTTATGCAGTCGAATCAGCCACGCCCAACACCGTCAAGTAGTCAAGCAAATGTACCCCGTAAAAGGAATACACACATACAAAGTTTGAAGTCTAGACTTCGAACAAATATTAATTCAATTTTGTCTAATTATGAAATGATTCTATCTCGATCTAAGGTGAGATTACAGTTCTGTTGTATAACAACACACTTATAGATTGATCCAAATGAATTGGCTAAAGGATTGAATCCGTATACTCAATGTGCTCAAGATACATTTGAGTTTAGCGTGAGAGCTGCTAACATTGTGAGTTTTTGAAAGGTTTACTAGAATTAAAGAGTTAAATATTATTTTTCTATTTCTTTTTCAACTGTTTGGTTACTGAGTGGAAAGTTCTCGTATTGAGTTATTTTTATAGATTGAACGTTTATACTTGTATTTAAAAGGTGCGTCAATGGCACAGTGATAGAATGCTTGCCAACCATGTATGTGGCTCAAGATTCGACCCCCAGCCACCAGCGCACTCCTTTACCTCGCTAAGGCAGTAATATAAGACTGGCAAAGAGGGAAGGTTGAGCTTGAGGTTGACAACTTCCTCGCGTAGAAATAAACATCACTACTAGCTAACCTTCAAAGCTCCAGCTTAAAGCCCTATGGGATCGTAAAGGAATACAATAATAATAAATGACTGGTATTCAAAAGGAGATTCATTGAAAATAATCAAATAATGGTAATGTACTCCAGGAAATGTTTCACGCAATGAGTAGTCACCTAAAAGAGAATGAACAACTGAAAGTTGATTGACAAACTGACTGGTTTCTACATCGGACCTGGTCATTGAAAGTGGAAGACATGAAAAGCCTGGCTAGCTGTCTTTCATCATAAGTGCCTGCCTTCTATCTCCCGTGTGAAGTGGTAGGTGTAATAGGGTGAGTAATATTGAGGTTACGCTTCGGTCAAGTGCTAGGTAAGGAGAGAGGGGAAATCAATCGACGAGGTTGTGAAGTCACGTCGATCGAGAAAGATGCTTAGGACATGTGTTACGCATGCATGTATAGCCATCGCCTTCCTCGATCGACAGGGAATCTTAGCTGATATAGGGCCAGGTTGAAAAAGATCTGGTGATGGTGAAACCAAAGGGTGGCTTCATCAGTCAGTGAAATAAACAACGGTCACGTAGGAAGGTGTAGACTTCTTAGCGGTCCTTGGGATGGTAAAAACCAATGAAGGTTGGAGACAATTGGCGATGTGGTTGGCTCGAAATCTTCGTTCTAAATGGCTGGCGCAGATGCATTCACTGCTTGTGATTTATCCAATAAAATCCTGCTGTTCTTCCATATTAGTATTCTTTTTTGCTTCATATCTCTGTTCTGAATCTCTTTTTACTTTCTTCTCTTGCTTTGTAGGCTAAGTGAAGTGTGGCGACTCAAACTGGTGCTCATCTGTGGAAAGTTCTATGTTGAAATCAGTCAGTCAGAGATCAAACTTTGCACAGAAGTGCACCAGTTCGAGTTGCCACACTCCATGAAGCAGATCAAGAAACACAAAAGAGAGAAAAAAGGGATTCAGGAGAGCAATAAGAAGCACAAATGTGAAGAAAGAATAGTAACATGAAACAAACATGACAATCTAGTAGATGTGAGATCATAATGAATGAATGCATCTCAGTCAATGAGAACGATTTCGAGCCATATTACTGATTGTCTCCAGCCATTGGTTCTTAGAATCCCAAGGACCCCAACTAGGAAGCTAGTCTACTCCTCCCTACGTGGCTAGATCAGACTAACTTTCAAAGATTCCATGAACTGATTCCATATTTTCTCTTGATCACCACTAGCTGTCTTTCAATCTGATCATATGCCGGCTAACATTGCTTATCGAGAAGGGCGATGGATAGGCATACGTAACACATCTTAGCTATTTCAGTCAATGTATTTCCACGACCTCATCTGTTGACATTCTTTCCTTACCCAACACGCGACGCCTAACCTCAATATTGCTCACCCTATTTAAATCACCTAACCCGGGAGAAGGAATGCAGACACCTATGATCAAAGACAGCTAGCCAGCCAGGCTTTTCATGTCTTCCACTCTCAATAGCCATTTCTCACTCACAGCCATATAAGAGGCCGGAGAGAACTGCTGAGCAGTACACTCACCATCTAATACCAACAATTCAAAATGTATCGTGATGGTGAGGCACCTAGCTTGATGATGGCCACATTGCAAACTTGACTGCACCAACACCAAGGACCACACACACGCACATTACACTAGTTACTAACTCTAGTATCCAATCAAAAGTACTCTTACTTATTGAAAGATGTAACTGATGAACGAGAATTACATTGTCAGTACATGGATGATACATTTTTGATTATGAAAAATGAGAAGGAAGCAAAATACAACCTGGATAAATTTAATGAGGTTCATCTTTCAATAAATGTTAGTATTGAGAAAGAAAAAGACTAGTATTTCATTCCCCAGACTACGTCTTTATGACCAGAAAAGAAGATGGCACAAGAAGAAGAAATGTATATAGAAAACCTACATCAACTGACTGTCAGTATACTCATTTTTTCAGCTTCGTGCCCTTAAAATACAAACGCAATCTGATAAAGTGCTTTGTCCATAGAGTAAGAACAATCTGCTCGGATGAATGTCTTGTTGAGGAGCTTAATAATATTAAACGGTTGCTGAGTGAAAACGGTTATCCCGAAAAGTTTATTGATAAGAATATGAATCTAAAATCAAAGCAACCCAAGGTACTAACAGTTCCTAAAAAGGCCTTATTCTTACAAATGAAGTCCCTAGGGGATAACATCGGCGAGATACTAACACAACGCCTTAGAAATTCGGTAAAAAGAGCATTCCCTACTGTTGCTGAATTACGCTGTGTCTTCAAAACCACTCCTCTTTTGCGTTCGGGAGTAAAAGACAAACTGCCTAATTTCGCCTCTTCCATGTGTATCCACCAATTTAACTGCTCCTGTGAAGTGAGCTAGTCAGTTGCTTAGGCCGTACAAAAAGGCGTGTTTCTCGTCGGATTTCCGAACATCATCCTGCATAGTGGTTAAGTAAAGGACAAACAAAATATATTCGTAGTGCTATTCTATCTCATCTTGTGGATACAGAACACAAGATTGACGTTAACCATGCTATCAGGGTCATTTACCGCATACCTGTGAATCTCAATTTCGCCTTAAGAGTTCGATTACTAAATATTACTGAGGCTGTTGGGATCTATATAAGGAAGCCTAACATATATCCAAAAGAAGCTAGTTCAGACATTATCCTTACCTTGGTCATCTAGGTTCGATTAATCCTCAATTTTTGTAGAAATTTCCCTAATTTTAGTTGATATTCTATTTGTTATTATTATTATTATTATTATTATTATTATTATTTGAGCATCTTTAATAAACTGTAATTGCATTGATAATACTTTACAAATCCATATTATTTAAAGAACACTAATATTGTTTTTGAGGAGTGCCAACTAGCATGAAACTTAGGTCTATGACTTCCTGTCGATTGCTTTCAACTATCTAATATCATTAAATCAATGTGCATCGTGATGGCGGGCCACTTAGAATGGTGGTCACACTGCAAACCTGACTAACGACGGAATTCAGTCTGCACCAAAAAAGAGGACTAGACACGTCACACTAGTTACTAGTGTCCAATCAAACTACCCACTACAGTCTTACATGAGGTCAATCGCGAGCCCGAATAGCTCAGTGGTAACGTTTCTGACTGTAGGCGGCAATTGGTGGCGCGGTTTCGAATCTCAGAAGGAGGGATATGAGTTCCTTCAAGGTTGCAGATACGCCTTGCTGACTAGTGAGTGCCACCTAGCACGAAATCTAGGTCGAGCAAGGCTTCCTGTGGCCGATTGCCTCCAACTATTTAATATCATCAGAATATTCTATGCATATAAACATACATAAACATAATTGTAGAGCCAGAAGAGGAGGAAATTATCGAAAAGGATATTCTTTGCTTGATTATTTGTGTTTTATAGATATCTGAATGAATATTTTCGCTTTATTGTAAATTACACTATACTCCTTATTTCAAACAAGAGAATATTTATTCTTATCCTAACCAACCACCCGCCTCTTCTTTTGTTATTTTTTTTTAATTTTAGGTTCATGCATGTGAAAATATTGCTCGTTTAGTATCAGAAATTAAACAATATTTAATATTAGGTGATTTTTGTTGGTTAGCTGAGGTTACAGAATTCAATCGTGAAAAACTACGTCGTCGAACACTGGATATCGATCGTGCGACAATCCGTCTACGTGATAAACTTATAACAGAATTGCATAGTTTAGACGAGGAGACAAGTCCAGATTATCCTATCCCAGCATCATCATCGTCATTATCATCAGTGACTTCATCGTCAATGGATACAACATAAATATTTGTGAAGTGTGTATATCAGTCAAAGAGGATTACTAAAAGGACTCAGGTCACACACACACTATGAAACTTTTGATCGCTTCATTTTTATTTGTACAGATTTATGTAAATAAATATATGAATGTTAATTTGATAAATAATTATATTTATTATATCTAAAACAATTAGTTCCCTTTATGAATTTAGATAAAGCAATAAGAAGACGTCATTTGTCTGAATCGTGTAATGTATATGCGCAATAATAATAGAGAATGTAAAGCCAATATATCTATCTATCTAAGCCCTTCGAACATGCTAAAAATGACGTCACATCCCACTGTATTTACCAATTTGAATGTACGTGTGGCCACACGCATATACATAGGGAGGACTCATCGATCTCTGTAAGTAAGGGCTGACTTCAGAGCATATTCCTAAATGGCTCCAGAAACAAACGGAATCTTCAGAACCTATTAACGGTGAGAACGGGAGACCTAGCTCTTCTATTGCAAAAAATATTATAGAGACAGGACATAAAATTGACGTTAAAACATCTTTTAAACCTATCCATCCATATAACGTGTTTGTGGCGTATCCTAAAGTTTGTGGAAGCCCTAGCTAGTAATTAGGAAGTCTAAACCACCTTTATGCGTTCAAAAACAATTCGTCATCACATTAAACCTTCCTTGGTAAATTTTGTTTTGATACCACAGCAGATGTACTATTACTTCTGCTATTTGGTTTAGTGGCCTTCATTGTTATTTTGACCTTGAATATGTCCTTTTAACTTGACCTAAGTCTATTTTATCACCTCTTACCTCTTTATTAATTTTATATATATTCCTATGACAAGTCCGTGTGTGATCAGATTGTTCGAAATTTTTGCGCATATACATTACACGATTCAGACAAATTACGTCTTCTTATTGCTTTGTCTAAATTTATTATATCGTTATTATTGCAATTCTTTGCCTTCTGAATGGTAGATAGTGGGGACCTCAGTAGCATCCTGTCTTCTCTTCCGCACCTGGTTGTCTCCGGCCACCTCCACTTGGCACATGACATGAGAAATTCGAGGTTTCTTTTGTGGGTCTGTCATATTCTCATCTTGTCGCTCCCCCTTCAGTCCGGCATAATCCAGTTTACTACAATAAGAAAGATCAAAGACAAACTTTTCTTACTCCTGTTTTTTTCACTTCAAAGCATTCAGTGAGGTGTTAACATTGTGAATGGATGGTTAATCCCCACTGATCCAACTTCTGAAAACCAACAGTTCCAAATTAATCTAGTTGGCTGACTGGTTTCAACGTAGAACTTTGCACCGATGTGTAGCAGTTCCAGTCGCCACACTCCCTCCATGTGACACACAGAGTAAGAGAAGAAAGTGAAAAGGAATGCAAAACAGGCACAGTAAACAGAAGAGATATAAGGCAAAAAGAATAGTAATATCGAAGAACCATATAGTTTTATTGGGTATTAGAAATCATAAGGAGTGAATGCATCTGCGCTATTCATTGAGAACGATTTTGAGCCAGTTACAGCACCAATTATCTCCAGCCATTGATTTTTACTATCCCGTGGACCCTAACTAGGAAGTCTGCACCTCTTTGCGTGGTTGACTTAAACTAACTGTTGTGTATTTCACTGACTGATAAAGCTACCCTTTGGTTTGACCACCAGTAACTCTTTTCCAACCTCATCGATCTTATGTTAGCTAACATTCCCCGTCAGTCGAGGAAAGCGATGACTAGGCATGCATGCGTAACACATGTCTTAATCATCTCAATCCATGTGACTTCGCGACGTCGTTGACTGATTTCCCCTCCATACCTAGCACTCGACCGAAGCGTAACCTCAATATTGCTCATCTTATTATACCACTTCACACGGGAGGTAGAAGGCAGACACCTATGCTCCAAGACAGTTAGCCAACCAAGCTTTTCATGTCTTCCACTTTCAATGACAGAACAAACTGCTGCTGATAGGCGGTACACACGGCCTTTGGTCGACAGCCAGCCGGATATCACATCTGGTAAGCGTAAGTTGTCACATGCCAAACTAACCTTCTGTATCCGTACTGAGATTTCGTCAGCGATCAACCCGTTGGCACTGGCTGATGCAACTTCCCAAATAAGTGAAGTGATCAACAGGCTAAACCACCACTTCACTCCCTATCTAATCTTCATTAATGACTGATTACGGAGTGGAGTTCTTGAAGTGGTGACCAGTAAGGTCTATCAGGTTGGCTGTGATGACAAATACTCGCCGATGACATTGGCTGACTGTGACGCTATAAATCACGAATCGATAGAAGTTAGAATTCATGATTCCGTCCCCACTAATCAAAAGTGCCTTTTCATATAGTAAGAGTTTACATTTTTCAGGCAGAGTAAAATAAGAATGACCTTGTGAATAATCGGTTCACAGTTTTGAAACCTTAAATTAGTTCCGTAAAGAGAGAATTTTTCACGAGAGAAAATGTTTATGAGTGCTGGTTTGCAGGGATTTGACTGACCGAAAGTTTGATCGCACATTGGCTTTAGGTAGAGAACCGCTGGAAACTGGGGAGTTGTTTCGTCCTTGTTTGGGGCCCTTTAGCTGCAGTCACCCATTACTTCACTAAGGATCGAACATAGTCAGTCACTAGTTTCATTTCCATATGTTGGTCTACGAGGATGTGGTCACCTGGGATGAATTACTAGTGGGAAGCCGTGACCATTGGATCCACCAATTTGGACGTGGGGACAAATTATGCGCAGATGACATTGACTGATGGTTTCGCTAGGTATCGTGCATTAACAGAAGTTAGAATTAATGGACCATTGGATTCGATCCCAGTGGTTAATTGGTCAACGCTCCTTGTAACTTGGGTTGGATCCCTGTTGGGGGTTATGTCTGCGTATTCTAAAAGAGTCTCAAGCTAGGACGAAGCAATTATACTATACTCCCTGATTTTCAGGGGTTCTCTAACTGAAATCAATCCGCGACCGAACGTGAAATTAACCAAATCCTTTCAAGTAAGCTCTTGAAAATTATTCTGATGCTCGTTAGTGACTGTCTGCAGGAAGAAGTCGCCTGGAGTTCTAGTAAGCTGTCGTGACCAATGGAGTCCAGTCGGTTAGGAGTGAGGAAAAATACTCACCACCGATGCCATTGGCTGATGCAAGCCAAGCTAAAATCACAAATTGTTAGAAGTTGGAATTCATGGGCTGGCTACTGAGTCACGTCCCAGTGGCTGATTAGCCTACGAGTTTGTAACCGGAAGGTCATGGGTTCGAACCCAGTTGGTGAGTGCGTACTGCCGATGAGTCCCAAAACTAGGGCGAAACACCTATCCAGTGCTCACTGTTGGTTTTCCAATAGTTCTCTAACTGATGTCATTCAGTGATTAAACTTGAACTGTGAAACTTAGTTACGTAATTTGAAAACACTATTATTATTATTGTTCCCTTGGGTTCCTAGTGGAACATAGGGCTTCAGCTGCACGTCTCCACTTGCTTCTGTCTTCTGCTGTACTTTTCACCTGCATCCATGTTAATCCATACTGTTTCAATTCCTCTTCACACGATCTCCTCCATGTCACCCTTGGACGTCCCACTACTCGCCGCTTCCCTGTCGGGTTCCACTCGAGCTATGGCCTGACGCGCGATGTCACCCAGTGACCTCCTCAGCTCAGTGAGTGTCCAATCAATCTCCACTTTCTCCTGCATATTTGTTGGGTGATTGGTTCTTGTTTTGTTTGTTCCCATAGTTTCTCGTTGGTGATTCTTTTCGGCCATCTGATCTTCAGTATAGAGCCAGCGAAGACAGTTAGTTGTTGATAAAGATCTGCAACAGGCTGTTGAAAATATTCTTTGTGACACACTGGCCAAGTTTCTGATCCATCCATATAGAAGAACTGACTGACTTGATGTCGTCTGTATTGAAAATCCGAATTTTGCTGTTGACGCAGGCTGAGTTGAGTGACGAAGATTTCCAGATTGGTTGGTATCAGGTTGATGAATGTGTTTCTCGCCTTTCTGATTCTCGATTTGACATCCTCGTCCGTTCCTCCTGTAGTTGAGACAATGCTCCCTAGATAAGTGAGTGAATGAAGTAACCTCTTTCAAATCCCTCCCGTTGATGATGATTGGCGCTGGATGTTGCTGCTCCTGTTGTTGTTGTTGGTTTGTTGGTTATTTCCATAACCTCTGTCTTGTGTATGTTCACCTGGAGTCCTGTCTTTGCTGCTTCTTCGACACTACACTAAGCGATGAATATTACTCAGCAATAGTTGTCACTAAAGTTGTAAACGCTTGAAAACAAGAATATTGTTCACAAAGGGTAAGAGATTCAGAATATGTGCATAATGTATAATTTAAAGTTTACGAGTTTGAAAAGAAAGAAAAGGCGGAAACAAGAACGAGTGTACGTAGATTACATAACAAATTATTCTACAAGTTAGGAAAGGAAACTTTTAAGGCCACAGTAACGTCAGGGATTGGATATATCGTTTCTGTATACACAGTTCCAGATTTTCTTTACATATAGGAAGAGCTCTTGCCACGAACATAAGTAGCCAGAAACCATTTCTGAACTAATATTATTGTTTCCTTTAATTCCTAGAGGAACATAGGGCTTCAGCCGTGCGTCTCCATTGCGTTCGGTTCTCTGCTAGAGTCCTCACCTGGCTCCATGTCTGCCCACTCGTCTTCATCTCCTCTTCACATGACCTCCTCCAAGTCACCCCACCCTCGCACTGACGACCAACTCGCCACTTCCCATTCGGGTTCCACTCGAGCAATGGCTTGTCTAGTGATGTCACTTGATGGTTTCTTTGCTCAGAGTATGGCCAATCCATCCCCATTTCTTCCTGCCTATTTGTTTCACAATCGGTTCCTGCCAGGTTGGTTCGCTCCCAGAGATCCCTTCCTGTTGCTGATCTTTTCTGGCCGGCCATCTGATCTTGAGTATTGAGCGAAGACAACAGTTAATGAAGGTCTGTCGTTTGTTTGAGATGCTCTTTATGACGCGCTGGCCAAGTCTCTGATCCGTATAGTAGCACCACTACTAGACGTTACCGTACTTTCTTGTGCTAATTGTGACTAAGCTTGTAAGTAGATGAAAAAAATAATCAGGTGCACCCTCCAACTGATGAGTTGAAGAAGGAACGAAACATAAGTCTAAGATTTG